GGATGTCTTCCGCCATGAGCGATAATTTTTTTTAAATACCGTAACAAAAATACATTTTTAATTCAGACAATAAGATTTAAACTATTAAAAATCGTATGGTAATATTTGAAAAAGTAATTTACTGAAATAAATTGTAGAGGTAACTATAAGGAGATAAAAAAAAAAGATCTGAACAAAAAAATTGAATGCATTGAGTTTCACATGTTCAGTTCACTATTATTGTTGGTTGCCTCAAATCAGTTGAATTTGATCAAAGAATGTCTACAAGTTCAATAGGATATCAACTTATTATTTAAAAGTTAGAAATAATAATCGTATAGATCGGAATGCATCATTTATTAACAAGTCATTTTTAATGTGCTTTTGGTGGAAACTTTGCTGTACTCGATGCCATACCAGTAAATGTGGGTCATTGATATAGTGTAAATATCTATAACTAGTCGGCCCGCGGCGTAGCATACGCCGCAGAATTGCTCATAGATGAGTGAAGACTTCGTGAAAGACGCAGTTGTCCAAATGGGGTGGGTTTAAGGATACAACTGTGATATAGCCCGCCAAACTTAAGCGGCAGCAATGCGTAAACTTCCAATCATACACTAAAGTTACTGGACAAAACATGAACTCAAGTAACGTACATTTAAGAGTCCCAATATTTGCTACACCCCTTCCACCACATCACTGCACACTTTTTATTTCACGTCCATGAACTATATTAATATTCTGATGTCCCAACCACTTTAAAACGGAATATTTTTGACACAATACTTAAATTGAGACGATTTCAGTTCCGAAAAGAAAATATTACGCAGCAAACGCAATTGCGTTAAATATTAAAAATAGATATATATCAATTTAGCGTAGTTATCGGTAATTATATTTTGGGATCTATTGCACTCATTATTGAACCACGCACTGGCGTATCTATAAATAGCCTGCTTGGTGTTTGACCCATCTTGTTTGACCTTTGCTGGCGAATTATTTAAATAGATAATTCCCGAGTTGATCTTGTTCGCCCGCATTCTTTGCGCACCATGCTGGCTCTCTTTCGCTGTTTTCCCTGCTGTGTTCACGACTGTCCGCTGCATTTTTAAATAGGGATCTCTTCACTGATTCCAAACATGCCTGTTTCAAAACCAGCACGGTGTTAGTACACACAAATACTTTCCCGAAATGGCGCCACTACCCGCCAATGTCAATACCCATCGATAAAAGCATCAGTACCCGTCACTAAACACTCTATGTATAGTCAATACAACCAAGCATTTATGGAGCGCTAACTGGAACTATTATGAACGATGCCATTGTGAACTCGACATCAGTCGAACGCTTCAAGGCTGCCCTGGCATCAGCCAGGAGCTGTTAGAATAGCAACATCATACCCCCAACCGTTGCAAAGATGCCAGTACATGGATGCAGCAACGAAACATTACCAGAACTAGATCATGCAGTTCTTCCCGTATTTTACTCGCCTAACGTGGTTTCGTAGCCCCAGCTTGTGGTCTAGTACCGGGTACTAGTAGACAGATTTCATTTCTATTCAAACTGGCGTATAGCTCATAAAGACTCTAAATAAAACTAGGATGCACAGTGTGATATTTCAAGTGCCAATCACGTGACACCCATGATCCGCGCAGAACGTCACCAATTTTCAACTGGAATCTTCAACGTTAGATAACTTATAGTAATACGAGACACGATTAATATATCATATATGCGTATTAAAACATGTACACTGCAGTGACTCATTGGTTTGCCCAAGTGCTTCCGCTATACTACGAAATGAACTACTCTGTTTTATGAGTGCCTTACTTTTTTACTAATAGAGTATTTAAAACAAAAACTCAACCAGTCATGTTTTATATAGTTTACATAATAATTTGCAACATTTACGTTAAGCTTTGCGGGTCAGCTATGGACTATGGTGTCAGAATGTTGGCAAAATAAGAGTTAAATTTTCTTGATCCTCAAAACTCATTTACAGAACATATGAAATCATATATCATTGTGACATTGTAGTGTCTGACTATGGAACTGAGTTGTATTGAATTGGTTATCTTGTAATTTTCGATAGATTGTTGTATACAACATGTCATTTTTAAAAATAATTAACAACTTTACATTTTATAACATAAAATCTTCATGTTAGTTTGGAGACAAAAGTAAAAGAATAAGAAAAAAAAACGCACTTGACCAATCTGAACACAAAAGTTTAATCTTTCCATTTTTAATTACACGTTTCTGAAAGCTGAAACAATTATTATTTTTTTTTTTTACACAAAAGCAAATTATAAATTACCAAGTAACACAACAATGCACCATTTATTAGAAATACTTGAGGATTGAACTTGAACAAAATATTATTTATATAATTATGTGTTAAATTTTAGGGAAACCAGTGCCCCCCCCCCCCCACCTCCGGCTATTCATTTTGATTTTTTGCCAAGAGCATATCCACCTTTCCACAAATGTTAGCTTTCAACTATTTAGAAAAATAAATTTTAAGGAAAACAATTCCCCCCCCCCCCCACCTCCGGCTATTCATTTTGATTTTTTGCCAAGAGCATATCCACCTTTCCACAAATGTTAGCTTTCAACTATTTAGAAAATCCTCAATTCTTAGACTTGTAAAACAATGATGACAACTATGCTGTCATTGACCGTGCAGTTTCATTATATTTTAATCTAAGCTATCTTTTCCTAACCTTGTAAAGCCGATAGTCCATGGGAAATTGGTCAGACATTTGAAGTATATAATAACCCCTCCCCAAATTTTTTCTTGAATAAGTTGATTCAAATATGTTTATTTATTGAAAGAAACAGCCAAGTGAACGTCCATAAAGTATGTCACGCTATTTTTGGACAATTTTCACCCCCCCTCCTGCCTAAACCGACACAATCTGTCACAGTTGTCAGGACTCAACCCCCTCCTTTTTTCCCCAAAGTACCTCACACTTTCGAACTAAAAAATTGTCATAAAATTAACAAGTTATAAATTTAATCTAAAAAAACACTTTACTATTAAATTTATAAAAGTGACATCTTCTGTCAGAATAAATCTATGACAACAGAAAGTTCAACACGACTGTCAATTTCAGGTGTCACATGTGTTCTAAAAAGTAAAAGTGATAGGTGACGTCACCCAAGATCTTTTCCACCTCCAACCCCCGTGTCACAAAATGTCAAACTTTCTGAGGACCCCCTCCCTCTCCCCTCCCTCCCTCCCCCTCATTCCCTCCCCCTCATTCCCCCCCCCTTTTTTTCTCTTCTTCTTTTGTTCTTTTAACGTCACCCAACATCTTCTCCACCCCCATCCCCCGTGTCACAAAATGTCAAACTTTCTGAGGACCCCCTCCCTCTCCCCTCCCTCCCTCCCCCTCATTCCCTCCCCCTCATTCCCCCCCCCTTTTTTTCTCTTCTTCTTTTGTTCTTTTTCATGGGCGTGACGTACTTTATGGACGGTCCCTAATGTACTTAATGTAATCTTAATTTTAAGTCTCAACCAAGTTGGAGATCACAGAAAAACGCCTTCGCTCTAAAATTGAAGCTCTAAAAAAGACAAATAATGTAGGCATACTAATTTTTAGGTTTAATAATAAGCCTCATTTGACATAAAAGACTCTAACTTTGTAAAAAGGGGCACTACTCAAATGAGTTTTATGGATGCAAACCAGGATTGCTTTTAGTAGGGGACATTATCTACCACTGGGCGGCGCTGGGGTACATCCATTTGTCTGTTATCAATCATCAAATTTGATTGGATGTTTATATTTCTCTTACTTGACGCATCAAAATAATCCCAATTCCTCATCCCATTTGAGAACGCTAAGAATCTGATCTGAAGTCTTCCCACACCGAGGACGTATCTCAACGTGGCATCATTGTCTCTCGTCACCGAGGGATTCAAAGAACCGACGGCTGACACACTTTAAATATTGCTTTCATAGAGCTTTAATATTAGGAACTGTTCAATCAATTTTCCAACTCATTAGACTGGGCTACAATAAATATAACGAGTATTATAAAGGACTTGTAATATTGAAACCACCCCCACAAACTATAATCAGTCATCAAATCCCTAAAGTAAATCCGCAGTACACATTTACTCCGCAAATTTTAAAAGTACAAGCATCTGATATTTAGGTGAATTTTTATAAATAAGAATGAGCTGTTTCAAAATTAACGCAATTTTGAAATTCAAATTAAAAATAAATAAGACAGTAAAAAAAAATGTAGGAGATGCAGGAACTAATTTTCCGGTATAACCTAAATACAGCATCACATTTCAAGAGAAAGTTTCAAGGGACATTAGAAACGACAAGTGCAAGGGAGGTAATACGTCACGACTGTCATTGGTGAATTACTGATCCCTTTTTATTTGTCACTCGCTCCACCTTGACAGTTCCACGGGCCGAAGCTGTGGATGCTGCTGAGCGGTGTTGGGTTTTTCATCCATTCCAAAACCTGTCAAGAGGATTATAAAATAACTATTATACGACTGGCAAAGACTACGGAAACATGAGATTACATGGTGTACACTCCAGAGAGGAGCCTATGGTCTAGTCCTAAGTCATCAGATGCCAGGGTATGGAACAGTGACGTGATTCGTGCTTCAGGCCCGGAGGGTGGGGGGTTGGGGGGTGGCGCGAGATGACATATTGGTACATTTTCTTTAAAACGATAATATTACTTTCACAAACATTGTTTTATAAGGTAGACGCTAGATGGCACTCAAACAGCCCAAATGATTGTTTATAGCAACAAAACTTTGTGTTTTTTTTTCCCAGTAACTCGGTCGGGACAATGAACTTTTAAAAACTTCAACATGTTGTGCATCTTCCCCACTGTAAAATCATTAAGCCTCTTACGTTTATTACCAGATATCAATCCCCAGTGTTTGAGAATCAAGATATCAACCAGTAACGTCAAGTAACTTGAGTCTCTGAGATTTTTAAGATTGGGGCCATACAGAGACACATAAACAAAGTCACGTGACCTGCCCTTACCTGACTAGGGGTCACAATGTAGACGTCGTCGAGAGTGAGCATGTAATCGATAAATCTGTCCAGGCCTTCCAGGTTGTGCTCAGTGTTGAACCAACGTGCGTGGACGAAGATGCCGAACGGGGCTCGGTTTGAGCCGTAGAAGCGCCTGTCAGAGAAACACATGTTTAACAACAAAAAAATATAAAAAAATCACAAACTTGTTGGTGCGTTATATGCTGAACAAATAGCACGGTTGGTAGTGGAGGTAGTCATGAATGTATAGCGTAACGAGCAGCCGAAACAGCCATTAAATTAAATCTGGTTAAATGAAGTGAGGGGTAGGAAAGTTGCCGTTTTCTTCAAATTCTTCAACATCATTTTGTTTTAAACCAAAATAACCTAATAAAATTAAAACGTTCATGGCTTACAAATGACAGATGAGCTGAAATGCTAATGACTTTAATAAAAAAAAAACACCTACATTTTTTAAATATTGAGATAGAGCAAAGATGGGTGTACTAGATGGGGGAGAGATCTAAGTCTACTAATTAAAATGTGACAGTATTTATTACAACAATTAAATCAACCAGATATCGTTTGATTACGATGTAATACACAGATTTAAAACAAAAAAATGAAAAGTGCATCACTGAAGAGTGAAGTTTCTGAACATATGATGTTTCATTTTATTATGTTCGTTTACCCGGTAACGTAAAAATTAAACATAAGAAATTATCTGAGATCGATAGAGCTGGCCACAAACCTGAAATTAGACTTGAGGTATTCTAATGTCTCCTCAGCATCACCAGTGGCACTACAACCATCGGGCATAGCACACGAGTGACCATCAAGGCCGAACCATCTTTGAACCTGTTACAGGAAGTGGGGAAAAAAAACAAAAAACCCAAAACATTAAATTAATGTCTGCTTCAATTTCAGCGTCCAATTTTATGCACCTGCAATTATATGTTGGCTAACACACAAAAAATCCGGCCTGAAAAGGGGACATATTTTAAGCGAACACCTCAGCCCAATATTATCCTATCTTTACAGATAGTTGTGTGTTTTTAATTGATAACTTAGATTCTCAGCTACGGAATATAGACAGGTATTATTTTAAAAGACAATAAACGATGGACTGCGTTCAGGCCGCGTGAAGGAGAAAGTAGAACAAACTATGTGGAAGTTTGAATCAAAAGATAGGACAAAAGATAAGAATGTATCGGCTAAAAGCCTTCCTCAGCGGACAGGACAAAGAAATTATAGGAACTCATTAAAAAGTCAAGTGATCGCCATTTTAAAAAAAAAACTAGTTCCTATAATTTCTTAGCGTATTATCATTTGTCCTGTCCGCCGAGGAAGGCTTTTAGCCGAAACGTTCTTAACTTGTGTCCTGTCTTTTGACTCAAGCTTCCCCATTCTTTTTTCTACTTTTATTATTCCAAGGGATTTAGGAGAAGCAATCGATCAAAGTGGGACATTTTGGTGTGATCTATCAATGAAAACGGATAGTAAGAATAAAACAGAAAAATTCCGTAATTTCTTTAAAATTTATGCACAATTATTTTTTTAAAAATTTAATAAAGTGTGTGTGTGTGGGGGGGGAATGGTGGTGAGGCATTTCGTAACATTGTTGCTAGTTACAGAGGACTATACTTATTCGTAACATTGTTCCTACATCAGACGTCTATACTTGTACACTTATTTCTAGTTTTTTTGTAATCTGGCGACCATTCTGTTAATAGAATTTTTTTTTTTTAAAATCTCCAATCTCACATCTTTTAAAGCAGTGGTACCCAAATGGCGGTCCGTGAACCTTCACCGGTCCGCATGCTTAACGCTGCCGGTCCCCATAACATAAATATTTATTGTCAAATAGAAATAAAAGTATAAAAATAAATCATGCACCGGTCCCTGGTGATATTTCGAAACTTGTTTACCGGTCCGCCAAACTTAAAAGTCTGGGAACCACTGTTTTAAAGTAATGAAAGTTTACATACGGGTATTTCCCACATTCCCGGGTACTGCTTTTGAGGACATGGTCCGTGCTGGCAGTACACGTAACTGGGTGTGTAGTCAAGGGTGAACGGCCACACGGGATCACCCATTTCCTGCTCTGAGCCTGTGAACATGGACGTGTCGTAACTGTGGAAAAAGGGGGGGGGGGGGGGGGGGCGGAAAAAAAGAAAAAAACTTTTCAATAAAAATTTAAGGCTTTTAAAGGAAAATAGGGAATTTCCTGCTCTGAGCCTGTGAACATGGACGTGTCGTAACTGTGGAAAAAGGGGGGGGGGGGAGGGTGGCGGAAGAAAAGTAAAAAACTGTTCAATAAAAATTTAAGGCTTTTAAACGAAAATCGGGTTTCCGGTCTTCAGTTTGGAAACCGGAAAACCGGTTTTTGATTTTTCACAAACCGGATACAAAAAAAAAAAAAATTAAAAAAAATCATGATTTAAACAACAAATTAATTAAGTTTTTCAATCAACACAATAATTTACTGTCTGTCAATGTAATCTGACTTACCACGAACAAACCATTCCGGACACTTAAACAAGGTTTACTGATTTCGACTAGGTCACTTACTGAAATCATATGACTGCCTTATGTGATGGTTTGTGTAGTGTAGCTATGATTTAATGTTATGATTTTTGTACCTATGATTTTAAAAAAAATTACACTTACCGCTAATTGGCGCTGAGTTCCATCTCATGGTCAATGTATTTTTCTTCATTAAGAATTTAAAAATATTTTGGTATAATATAAAAAAAAATAATATTGTGTTCATTTAAATTCTTGTTTTAATAAACTTTTTTGGATCTTGGTATAGGATCCAGTGCATCTTCGACAGTGAATGTGTTGAGGATGGTTGAGGATGGTTGAGGATCGTTGAGGATGGTTGAGGATGGTTGTGGGTGGTTGTGAGCGGTGCTTAGAGGAAACCAACAATATTTGAATAGCGCTTTTAAGTCCTAAATGTCCATTAACTATTTTTGAAGAGTTTAAACAAATTTAAAATGCCAACTACATAAGTTATTTCAGTGGCATTTAAAAAAAAAATTAACATTAAGGAATGATATGTTTTTGACATAGAAAAGCCTCTAAGTTCCAAGATAATAATAAGTTTTGATCAGCTGATTTATTTTTCGGGAAATAACTAATAATAAAGAAGATAAACAGCCTTTAGCATTTGTTTGTGTATAAAACTGAACCCTAGTCGTTGACATTCTCAAACACCATTTTGATGATTCGAAATTTGTAACTCCGCCGACTTAATCCTCAACAGGAAACAAGAGACTTACTGAAATCCAGCATCGTAGAGGGCGCTGTACATGTTGTCAGAGCCAAGCTGGAGGAAGGGCACCCTGAAACCTTTGATGGCGTCACTTGGGACACCTGCCCTAGTTACAAGATTCTCCTTCATACCGCTGGACTCGTCATAGAAGTCCTGATATGAGGCCGTTGACCACCACGTGTGAGGAAATCTAAACACATGGAAGTAGATCGAAAATGAGGTGAAACTTTTTAGTAGGTCCATTTTTAGATAATTTGTAAGGGAATATCTGGCAGTTAGTTGTTGGGGTGCAGAGGAGGGGGTGGATGAAGCAGCCTGGGTTTACATTTCTCCAGGTATTAAAATAAATATGAAAAATGAATCAATAAAAATTTCAAAAAACATTTGGGCTTTTCTGGGAATAGAACCTCTGTAAATTGTTTGGATAAGAAACATTTTTACCACTGAGCTGACTTACTTGTGTGAGATAGTGTGGCTAGCTGTTTTACTTACTTGTATGAGATTGTGGGGCTGGCTAATTGACTTACGTGTGTGAGATTGTGTGGCTGGCTGTTTGACTTATTTGTATAAGATTTATGGCTAGCTGTTTGACTTACGTGTGTGAGATTGTGTGGCTGGCTGTTTGACTTACTTGTATAAGATTTATGGCTAGCTGTTTGACTTACTTGTGTGAGATTGTGTGGCTGGCTGTTTGACTTACTTGTATGATATTTATGGCTAACGGTTTGACTTACTTGTTTGAGATTGCGTGGCTAGCTGTTTGACTTACTTGTGTGAGACGGTGTGGCTGGCTATCTCATTGCCCATGGCGTACAAGGGGTAGACAAGGTCGTACTCAGTGCCACTTCCAGATACGTACATACATCCGCGTACCTAAGGTGTACAAATATTTTAAACAAAGTTGTTTACAAACGCAGACCCATTATTATGTAAAGTAAACATTATCAGTGAGATTACTAGGTTACTTACTATACAGGAAATTTAATTGAAACGCTACTAAAATTGATTTCACAAAATTATTGGAAAAAATATTTTTTTTAAAAATCGTATGTAATAGGTTAGTGAATAGGGTTTGTCATGTCTAAGACCGGAGGTCGTCACATGGTGTTACGCGATGTTAATATTTTAAGACGATGTCTTCGTAAAACATAGATTCTAGAAATGCATTTCCGCATATATTATTTAGAAGCAACAATTGGTTTGTAAGCAGGTTTTCGTCTAGGTCAGTGGTTCTCAACCTTCCTAATGCCGTGACCCTCTAAAACAGTTCCTCATGTTGTGGCGACCCCTAACAACAAAATTATTTTCGCTGCTACCTCTTAACGTAGAGTATATGTGTTTTCCGATGGTTTTAGATGAACCCTGGGAAAGGGTCATGCGACCCCCCCCCCCAAGGGGTCGTGGCCCACAGGTTGAGAACCGCTGGTCTAGGTTACTTAAGACGCACGTTAACGTAGAAGCACCGAGCAGCTGTTGAGAGATTGGCCAAACGGAATACCAGGATGTGTTTTTAATATCTCAATGAGATTGGTCAGACTATGCTCCCGAATGTTCTATTAATAGATCACCGCTCTTAAAGGACAAACCCCTTGTGGCAGTAGGGATGCATACACGGCTCAGCTGCTAATTAGTTATGTACCAGAAACATATTTAGGTTTGGGGAGTTTAATCAAATAAAAGATTGGTCCAGTCATCACATGGGGAATGTTTGAAGTGTTTGTCAAAAGGCTCTGTGATGGTCACATTTGAACTTTTCATTAGAAAGTCGGGCTCCAGGACTTACCGGGCATCCGTTGGGATTATATCGGCCTGGCCTGAACAGACGCTGGTAATAGCCGTAAAAGGCCCCCGACACCTCATCGTCAAAGGTCAGCATCACCATCTGCGGGACGGACGACGGGGACAGTCCGTGTGGGATAGCCGTGCCTGGACAGTAGCAGTTGGGCAGTTGACAGCTGGAAGGGTCACATTCTGGGGGGAAGGAGAAGACGAGATCGTCGATAGATTAAACGGACGTGAATCGATGTGTATTCCATTGGTAACTGTGAGTTAGGGAAGTGTATGCCCGTTTGGAAGGATGGAGTTGGTATGCTTGTTGATAGAGTTGATATGCTTTTTTTTTTCTTTTTTTTTTTAAATTTCGTGTTGTACGTCTATATGTTTGTTAGTGTAAACGTGAGTATGCGTTTATCATGAATTGAGGATCTTTACAATACGTTATTGGACGTACGTTTAAAGTTTGAGACGTTCGTTTGATCCTTCAGTTGCTTTTTTAAATTTATTTTTTGAGGGGGTCAGAGGCGTAGCGAGGGGGTGGCAGGGGGGACAGATGTCCCCCGGGCGCCAGCAAGTAGGGGCGCTAAAATGTGCTTTGATATCATTTTATTGATGCAAATAATGGGTTTGAGAGTTGAAAAAAAAGGGGGCACTTTAAAATGAATCTTGTCCTCGGGCGCGAATCTTGTCCCCGGGCGCCAAACACCCTCGCTACGCCTCTGGTGGGGGTTGGTGGGGTTTTGTGAGGGTCTTGGCGGTTGGTGCCCATAGATTGAAGCCATACATTTTTTACGTTAGAGAATATTTGTTGATATTTAAACACATTCCTCATATTTCAGTATTTTTTTTTTTTTAATCTCTCACCAGAAAAGCTTGATCCAACACGTTCTAACCTCGCCTCTATGAGCAACCATAGCTGAACTAAATGTCAAATATGTAAGGGTTAGAATTTTCATTGCCGCCATAAGGTCAGGCCAGTAGAAGACTACGTGATCCAATCATGTCTCTTAATGTTTATCGGGTTTTTGAAATTGTTCATATGTTAACGGTGTCCAGTAATTTGAGAAGAGTCGTATTCCGGGACCAAACAATGATTGTCTGAGTTATTGAAAGACGTTGGTCTCCTTGCATTGGACATCGTTGATATACCGGTACCTAGAGTGCAGGCCTAAAGCCACTCGATAACTGCATTTTTCATTATTAAAAGAATACACACATCGTCCATAAGGACTTATTAGAATGTTCTTACAAAGTTTGACCCATTTCAATTCGTAGACAACTTTTTGTCCCTTACTGCTGTACTGTGATGTACATCCGGGTCACAGGATTACATCTCCTAATAGATGTATCGATTCCATGGTAACTGCGATGTTTCTTACCACTTCCGGACAAACCAAAACGGAACCATTTTTTTATCACCCTTAGAATAGGAAATGGGGCATTATCTTACCTCCACCGTGAGACTGGATACTCGCCGACGCTGCACGACTCACGGGCTCCGCCTCTGATTTCCCTGTCTTTGATTTGATCTCGGCGGATTTCTTCTGCTCCGAATCCTTGGACTCGCTCTCTTCTTCCTCCTTGGCCTCCGTAGGCTGGTGAGGCTGGAAGGCCGGCTTCTTCACCGAGCCAGGGTCCTGCCACTGACTGGGGTCAACACCTGACGGCCTCCACCAGGGTTTGCCACCCGAGGCAGCTTGACTTATCCACGAGTTTTCTGTAAGGTGATAAGTTTGTTGGGGTGTGGGGGGTTGGAGCTTGAAATAACTCGTCAACTTTTGTAATCTCTTACTGTTGTTTCCAGTGAAATGTGTGTTTATATGCATTTTTTTAGTTATAAGGGAATGTGTTGCTGGTGTAATTGTTTAAACTAATAAACAACCGTAATTCACTGGGTGTCGTTAAGGACATACATACTGGCATAAAACGTATGTGTTCAGTTGTTTTATCTTGTTTTTTATTGGTTTTTATGGTCTCAATGTTGAGTTAATTGAATGTCTCAATGTTGACTTAATTGACTTTTGCAGGGTTGACTTATTGAGTTTTTGAAGGTTTACTTCAGATCTTGCCATTTTAAACTTAAATTTGGCGATGTCAATCCAAGTGAAATAAATGCCTGCCCCCCCAACTTCATCATGCTATCAATATAAAAATAATTTAAATATACCACTTGATATACTAATTTAAAACGGTATACAAGCAAAAGAAAAATCCACTCTGCATCGTACGCTTCTATAATTTCAAATACAAAATATCCCTACAGCTTTTAAATGCTTGAACTATAAGCCTCTATCATAACTATAACCATTACTACAACTTTAGCCTCTACTATAACTATAGCCTCTACCATAACTATAGGCTCACCATATTTATAGCCATTACGATAACTTTAGCATCTACTATAACTATAGCCACTACTATAACCTTAGCCGTTTCTTCTTCTCCTTTCTTCTTACATTTGAGGGGGCCCACGATCAATTTGTTGATCATTATGGCTCCTGGTTTGAATTCAGAGTTTGCCTTCTCTTAGATGGGTTGCCGTCCAAGGCTAACGAGTCCGATCTATAACTATAGCCCCTACTATAACTAAAGCCTCTACCATAACTACCCCAAGCCTCCGCCATTAATATAGCCTCTACGATAGCTATAGCCTCAACCATAACCGTAGCCACTGCTATAACTATAGCTTCTACTATAACTATAGCCACTACTATATCTATAGCCTCTACTATAACTCCCCTCCCCCTTCTATAGCTATCTTTTTTTTAAAATCGGATTTCAGATCTAAAACTTGTGAGGTTTGTTTGTAAATTTTAACCAGATTTTAAATCCTGAAAAAATATATATGTAAATGATTGCTATGATATCTATAGGAATGTTACTAATAGCAAAGTTACAGCATAAAGTTACAGCTTTTGGCTGCACAGTAGTGAGGATCAAGTGTTACTGTCAAGCTTTTAAAAGTCAGATATAATCCTTTAATGACGATCACCCCCCCCCACCCCAAAGCGTTAGTATATGATTAATATAGAGTTAGACCATTACAAGTTTTTAGCTATAATGGTAGCTCGCCTTTCTCATTTAACATTGGATTATTAATTCTTCGTCGTTATCAAGTCATGTTACAAAATGTATTCTTTTAGAAAATCGAGCTCAAATGATTTTAAAAAAAAAATTAAATATATTTCCAAACAGCCTTAAAGTTTTAAGAACCCCCATCCCATAATTTAAGCTTAAACCAAAACTGGCGACACAAGAAAAGGGCAGAACATTGAAATAAATTATTATTTCGTAATGAATGTAGTTTAATGTGTTTCCCTTTATGAAAAAACAAAAACAAAAAAACTTCAGGTAAAATCAGTTAATAAAAAAGGGTGAACATAGCTGTCAATCTTTAAGAAAATAGAATCGTAATTTACATTGTCCCAATACTGATAGGAAGTCATTGCTTAACCCAAGGGTTCTCTTTATATTATTTACGTGGTACTATTGTGTTGAAATTTCAAATATCTCCAAGGAAACATCTTTTAGGTAACCGCATATTCATTTCTCTTTTTTTTTGTGTTTTTACATCTCAGTGTACCAGGCTGGAAAAACGAAATCTACCACAGTTTGAGAATCACTGGTTTAATACAATCACTTACCACCGCTCCACTCGTGTTTCGTACTAGAAGCACTAGCACTAGCACTGACACTGCCACCATGACCTTCGCTGCCACTTTCGCTTCCACCGTGTCCAGCACTACTGCCACTCTCACTTCCACCGTGCCCCGCACTGCTGCCACTCTCACTTCCACCGTGCCCCGCACTGCTGCCACTCTCACTTCCACCGTGCCCCGCACTGCTGCCACTCTCACTTCCACCGTGGCCTCCACTTCCACCATGGCCACCACCGGAACCGTGTCCATGGCCCTTTCCGCTTCGGGTTCCGCTTGTTTCCTGCAGATGTTCCTCACTCCCGGAGCAATCCGCTAGATGGGGCCAGTCACACGTCTGGCTGCTCACACTGAAAGTTAGAGATCAGCACATCTCATATATTGAACAGTCCTTTAGATGGATACTGATTTCGATATAGTCAAGGGTATTCAAAATAAAACTTTAAGCCGAGTCCATTTAAAATGTATACAATATAGACAACAGAAGAATGGCCAAGCCACCAATGATCTTTAAAACGCGGGTAAATACTGTCATTAGGTAACAAAAACATTACGGCCAGATAAATTAAAATGAGTCCTAAAGATTAATTATCAGCCACATAAAGGGATTAAAATAAAAACAAACATGAAAAAAACCCACACATTTAGAATCCACTGCATTTCGTCGACTTGTAACCTTAATACAGTAAGTCTATTAGTAAATCACAACCTTGAGTCATGACACCGTATCTTATGATTCTGACCAGACTTCATAGGACACAACGAATGAACAGTACATAGAATAATCACATCTCCACCCGATAGCTAAGTTACGCGCTGTGCCAAGAGTTAAAGACACATCTCGTGTCACTGATCATGGAATATATTTTTCTAAAAATAAAAAAAAAAATACTCAAAAGTGGAAGAATTTTTTTGAAACGCGACGAACATTCTTATCACAAGCCATTGCTGTGGCAATAAAGGGTTTATTTTTGGGAAGTCATTTTATGATGAAGATTTCGCAAACTGCAATTTAAAAATTAACCCTTAAAAACAAAGTTTTTCATATAAATCCTTTATAAAATATAATATTGAGCAATGAGGGTGGGGGCTGAAAATTTGAAGAAAAAAAAATGCATATAAGTCACGCACTTGATAAGAATCCCACTTAGTACCCCCTTTCCCAGGCTCTACATCGCACATTTTGATCACGCCCCTGAACTATGGTTATATTCTAATGACCCACTGCTTTTACACAGCAAATTTATTTCACCAACTATGTCAGAAAAACAAAAGAAAATATCACGCACCAAACGCACTAACACATGCTATATATATATATTTTTTTTTAAGGATCTCATTTAGCGCAGTTATCGGGAATTTCATTTCGTGAAATCTGTGTCCTCATATGTCCTTCATCTTCCCCCTTGAAAAAAAAAAAAAAAGAAAAATCTGATCTTTGAGGATGGGGGGTGTGAAAATTTGAAAGAATGTGTTCTCATCGGCAAGGAGTTATGTGCCGAATTTCAGCCTGATAGGTTGACGGGAAGTGGGTCAATTAACCGTCCGAAAATTTTGCCAGCCTAAACCCGGCCAAGAACACAAGCAAAATTAATATAAAGGTTCTAAAAAGGTTGAACGGTTGGGGCGACAACACTAGACACATTTGTGTCTATTGCCTCAAGCCTTCAAACCTCTAGTGCATGATTTCCTCATCAACACCAGTAACAGAAACATTGCAAATCCCATCTACATGCATAGGAGCCAAAATGATCAATAAATTGATCGCGGGCCCTTAAGATATAGAAGAAGAAGAAGGGGTGCAGTTATATAGAACAAAATTGATGTAAACAGGTGTACTTTTTCAACAAATTATACCCTTTAAAAAGGAAATCATATTGTTCAGTATTAGAAATTTTTTTTAAAGCCCATCAAAGGCAAACATGCAAGCCGCTTACCTGAAGTGTAAACCACTTGGACACTTGAATGTGTGAAACACGCCGTCCATACACCTGTAGAACATGGACGGGTCATCATAGTCACAGTAGAAGTGTTCGTTATCACAGGACGACTCGTCATAGTAGGAGTCACTTGACTCCTCGGCCAGCGTCACCAGGGCCACGGACACCAACACGCAGAGTGTCTGGAGCATTCTATCTTTGCACCACATCCTTTGGAATCTGTTTCAAAACTCTCGCTGCTCAGAATACACGTAAAACTTCAAGTATGATTTCCTATGGTGTTATCAGTCGGCAATTTAATCAGGTTAGATGGACATGTGAGAAGTATCGTTCTTTTGAGAAAAAGCCTTTCAAAAATGTGAATAGATTTGAAGTTTAAGTTAATAATTTAAATTTAACACCTTAAAACGTGGTTGGTTATCTTTTCAAATATGCTTGTTAATTATGTGAACGTCTTCATCCTACTGCTGTTTATGGAAATGTTTAACCCCTAGGATATAATCCGTCCGCACGATGTGTCCCCAGCAAGCGCAGCAATAAAATATCAGCTGTTCAAGCCGAGTATGATTGAAAAGGAAACTAACAAAGTTGCCAGTGCAGATGCTAAAACATTTTACTGGCTGAATTAACAGACCTGAGAGCTTTGAGCATATCACCACAGATGATTGGTGTTTGTTTTTTATTAAACTTAAGCTGTTAGATTAAATTTATTTAGGCTCTAAGAGCAGAACTGGTAGATTTTCTAAAGAACACGGTCGATCGTCAAGTAAAAAGAAATCTGAAACCATCCACCAGACCTTCTGACTGGTTGGTCATTTATGTAGAATGAAAGACTCCCCTATCATTCAAGCACTATTTAAATGGCCGTCATTTTGAAGCCGTGCCAATGTAGTGAGTCCGGCTGTGGGCCCCGGCTGTTGACATAGCAGGTTGTTTAAATCCTTTGCCAAGCCGCTCAAGGTTCCTCCCAGCATTTTTTTTTTTTTTGGCCACGAGGGGAAGTAATCTTGATGACCTATTGGTTGGTGGCTGCACTCAAATAGCTCGAGACGTGAACCTAGAAGTCGGGACACCGGACCACTGTAACTTCTTCTTGGGGTACCGGTATCAAGAAGGAGCGACACGTACTTTCTGCGTGGCTATTAAATACACGTCGGTACAAATTTCTGTCAGTGATCTTATCCCAGTTGAAATTCAGCATTTAAGCATTCTGACGTAGAGAGCATCGGAAGTGGATTTACAAAAGACTAACGGTGGCCAAGACTACCTCTACAACACGCTTTGATCTTCTGTTGGCAGTTTATCAAATACACAATTTTACATACCATAGTTGTTTGGTTGTTATATTGTACGCCCACCCACTCTCCGTTCTTCGGATATCTGTTTTCGATAGACGACTTGTGCCTATTCTTGTTTAATTTTGTTTGTTAAAAATAGTAACACGTAGGGAATAATTATTTTAAAAAATGCGCAACATTTTAATGTACACCAATAATATAAGTTGCACCGATGAAGGCATTAGTGGAAACGTTGAAATTCGTAATTTACCTTAATTTAATATTTAGATACATTGTTTTACTTACAAACATTATTTGTGCCTCATTAATTCTGTATGTCCAAAAGGTTTAACAAAATTCATATTTTAGTGGGCAACAAAATGTAGTACATTATACAATAACTTATCTTTAGATACATTGTTTTACTTACAAACATTATTTGTGCCTCATTAATTCTGTACGTCCAAAAGGTTTAACAAAATTCATATTTTAGTGGGCAACAAAATGTAGTACATTAAACAATAGCTTATCTTTAGATACATTGTTTTACTTACAAACACTATTTGTGCCTCATTAATTCTGTACGTCCAAAAGGTTTAACAAAATTCATATTTTAGTGGGCAACAAAATGTAGTACATTATACAATAACTTATCTTTATAAAATGCAGTGTGGCACAACAAACGTAAGTTGCCTCACAGCCACCATCTCAAGTTGCCTCACAGCCACCATCTCAAGTTGCCTCACGGCCATCTTAAGTTGTCTCACAGCCATTATCTAAAGTTGCCCCACAGCCATTATCTCAAGTTGCCTCACAGCCATCATCTCAAGTTGCCTCACAGCCACCATCTCAAGTTGCCTCACGGCCACCATCTCAAGTTGCCTCATGGCCAATATCTCAAGTTGCCTCACGGCCACCATCTTAAGTTGCCTCACATCCATTATCTCAAGTTGCCTCACCGCCATCTCAAGTTGTCTCACAGCCATTATCTAAAGTTGCCCCACAGCCATTATCTCAAGTTGCCTCACAGCCATCATCTCAAGTTGCCTTACAGCCATCATCTCAAGTTGCCTCACAGCCATCATCTCAAGTTGCCCCATAGCCCTTATCTCAAGTTGCCACCCAGCCATCATCTCAAGTTGCCTCACGGCCATCTCAAGTTGTCTCACAGCCATTATCTAAAGTTGCCCCACAGCCATTATCTAAAGTTGCCCCACAGCCATTATCTCAAGTTGCCTCACAGCCATCATCTCAAGTTGCCTCACTGCCATCATCTCAAGTAGCCTCACGGTCACCATCTCAAGTTGCCTCATGGCCACCAATCTCAGGTGTTGAAGGGTAGGATTTTTAGAAGAAAATTTCAAACAACAATAATATTTAGTTAAAATAATTCGTGCATGAAAATTGTATGTGCGTTCTCTGAACTGTTGTCTGCGCGGTCGTTACAGATGATGAGCTTGGTAACAGGCGCACATTTTTGAGGTAACTGTTGTGGTGATGTAAGAACTATTTATTTTTAAGAACGAAACTGTCTTTTACAGAAATACTTATTTTATATTGTTACATTTATTGACACTCATTTTCAGTAATGGTGGCCCTATAGGTATATGATTCTCAAATTGCTGGTCTGCGGACCGGCATTGTTTCACAAACCCTAGGTGACCCGTCAGAAAAAGGTAAAAAAAAAAAAAAGGAAAAGAGATGTTAGAAAAAGAAAATCAATTAAATTTAAATCATTCACTGCCACAAAGGAAATAAATTAATCCTGGCTCTCAAACTGGAGAGGTTTGAGAAGCCCTGATATACATCATAATCATCATAAGAAAAGATAGTTGTACGCAAATAAAGTTTTAAAAAAAATATATATATAACAACAACAAACAAATAACATTTTATATTGAAGCTCTTAGTTGTTTTAATAAATGTATGATTGACAATCTTCTGTCATTGATAAATCTTACACTTGCCATTTCAGCCACCTAATGTAATTTCGCTTAAAGACATACATTTCAGAGAAATCATTTTGTAAAATCTATTGGAATGTTGCAATATTTACTATTAGAACAACTAAATGAAAAAAGCGAAGACGATGTAATGACGTAGCCTAGATATACTTTTTTTTTTTTTTTTTTTTTAATTTATCCAATTATTTCTTCAGTTTATGACAAGTATGAATGTCAACAGAAAAGTGGGATATTTTATTGTCTAAAATTTTTAAGTAAACGAGTTGCGTAAAATGCGTACCCAGCTGGGCCCGGAAAAAAAAGGGGGGGGGGAGGGGGGCGGGGGTTAGACTCATTAGTAATTCAGTTTCTGCTAAGGTTGGCTCTAGACTTGCCATTAAGGACATCAGATTTTAATAGAACAATTACCAGGAGGATTATTGCATGTACTGGTGACCGAATCTGTCTTTTCAGGCAGCCAATTTTTCCATTAACCCAATCTTCCCCTTTCACCCAATCTGCCCTTTCCTCCAATCTGTCCCTTTACCCTATCTGCCATTTCATCCAATCTTCCCCTTCACCCAATCTGCCCTTTCATAAATCTTCCCCCTTCACCCAATCTGCCATTTCATCCAATCTGCCCTTTCAACCATTCTTCCCCTTCACCCCATCTGCCACATACCCAGTCTGTCGCTTCACCCCATCTGCCACATACCCAGTCTACCCTTTCGCCCAATCTGTCATTTCAACAAACCTTCCACTTCTCCCCATCTTAACTTTCCTCCAATCTGTCCCTTTACCCTATCTGCCATTTCATCCAAACGTCCCCTTCACCCAATCTGCCCTTTCATAAATCTTCCCCTTCACCTAATCTGCCCTTTCATAAATCTTCCCCTTTACCCAATCTGCCCTTTCAACCATTCTTCCCCTTCACCCGATCTGCAATTTCATCAAATCTGCCCCTTCACCCAATCCGTCTTTTCAAAGGCAAAACAATTTCATGACCAAAAACATATTTAAGATTCTCAAAATTGGTTATTTTCTTGACACGACGAGGCCGCTGTCAGCGCATCCCTGCTACTCGCTGGCAAAACACTTTATGCAAACATAAACACTGAACACGGCCGACTGGTACTGTGCATACCAGGACACACAACGGCGGTGCTCTCCCCTCGCCCCACTACACGGGAATCTTAAAAAACAACTCCGATTATACTCGGACAAACGAGCCCCCCCCCTCTGGCACACTGTTTGAGCTCAGGCGCTAGGGTCACTGAATCCTCAAATATCACGGAGCCCTGGGCGTTTAGCGACAAATACCTTGAGGTCTCTCGAGTTTTACATCTCGACAGTAGAGTTATTGTCCCTGGCCAGCCCTTTATAATCTTCAAAATCGTCGTTGACCAATAAAAAGTAACGTTTTTGGCGGTCAAAGGTTATTCAACTTTAAAGTTAGGCTAAGAGATAGTATTGAGCATTGATGTTTGGCGGGGTCCAAAATTTCTTCTTAGTCTCTCTTAGCGTGGATTAATGAATGAAATATTGACGAGACTGTCAAAGACAAAGATTTCCTGAATTCAAGATTCTTCTTTGAATATAAACACCGCTATTTTTGGGGCTGTCTTCTTGACATGAACCACGGATACCACGATTGTGGTACATTGGTACAATAGTTTAAGTTGACAAGATATGTACAGCAGTACAGTAGTGTGTGTTTAAAAAAAAATGTATACAGCCAAAGTTGTCGCCTCAGCTGTCATTTACGTCAACGAAATAATCTGGAAGATGAACATGTAGACACGGCACGGTGACGAAACACAAACCACGACAGACTGGTACCGTACGTACCAGAAAACACAACGGGCAGTGCTCTCCCCTCGACCTGTCACGCGGGGGGTGGGGGGATATAATAACAATGCCTATTATACTTGTAACAATGATGAAGATCCCGCAGGGAGGAGTTGAACATTCGACTGTCAGGGACTGAGACATCAGAGCAAATAGCTGAGATCTATATTACTCGATTATAAAAGGAAGAATCCCACTATTCTTTCCTGCTAAGTTACTCCACCCTCTCACCTGCCCCCCAAACAGTGTTTCTTTCAAAAAATTTCTTGGGGTGTTGGGGGGGGGGGGCTACGTTTTTTGGGGGGGCAGTGCCAGGGGGGTGGGGGGGGGGGGCTCAGATTTTTGAGCGGGCAGTGCCAGAGGCGTATCTAAGGGGGCATATGGCTCCAGGTGCCAGACTAACGGATGAGCCAAAATGGTCCTTGTTGGTGTTTAGCGTATGAAAATTTGAAAAAAAAGTAGGGAGTCAGAGTTGAGTGGGGCGTAAAAGTAAATCTTATCCCCTGGTGCCAAATACTAAAGCCACGCCTCTGCCAGCTGAGTAGAAAGGGGGGTGGATGGAGTGGTCCACTCAGGTGTCCCTTTTTCTTTCTATGAAGAGGTGGAATTGTCAGAAAACAGAGACTTTGTATCGTGGAAGGTAAGGAAGTGCGCCAAAAAATCTTGGCACCGAAATCGCTGATCAGGGCCAGTTATACTGTCATTTGTATCGGGAAGTAGGGCTGAAATCGAGGGCACCGTACACACTTGAGCGGAAAGCGGGGAGAGTCTGGGGATCCCCAGAACATTTTTGATTATTTCAAAACCAAGAGGGGAATTTTTGAGTTTACCTGCATTCAATGTTTCGATTTGACTATTTGATATGGGGGGGGGGGGGGGGGGGAGGGCGAATTTTTCCGAGGGAGGGTTGCTGGTGTGCAATACATATTCTGAATTCCCTCCAGGTGGGGCGCGCCATTTGGCACAGGCGTAGATTCAACCCTGTACCGGTACTGTCACAATAATCGGAGTGAGAAAAAAAAAAGAGGGGGGGGGCAGAAATTAAGGGTGGCGAAGACTCTCGAGGAAAAGTAAGGGCAGGAGTTCCCTTAGAAATTTTTTTATATATTTTAAATGCAGGGATCCCTTCTGACACATATTTGAATTCGGTGTTTCTGACACTTGGGATGGGGACATTTCAGACTTTCGGGTGGGAAGCACCAACATTAGCCACAACAGGAACTTCATTTTTTTTTTCAAAAAAAAAAAAAAAAAAAAAAGGAGGGAGCTAATTAAAAATTGGCCGGCTTGTTTATTACTGGAGGCGCCTCATTACAAAGCAATTTAAATAAAACCTGTAAATTTAGGGGGTGGGGGACAAATGCCCCTCTCCCCGGCCTACACAAATAACGTCCCTGCATAATGACGCTCAGGGACATCTCTAACGTCTCCCCAACCAAGCAAGAACTTAAAATTATTACAGTTACAGTTGTCCCGAGAGATGCCCGGACAACTCTAACGTCTCCCCAACCCAACAAGAACTTAAATTATTGCATGCAGCTGTTCCGAGAGATGCCTGGACAACTCTAACGTCTTCCCAGCCCAACAAGAACTTAAATTATTACAGCTGTCCCGAGAAATGCCTGGACATCTCTAACGTCTCCCAAGCCAAACAAGAACTTCAGCTGCCCGAGAGATGCCTGGACAACTCTAACGTCTCCCCAGCCAAACAAGAACTTAAATTATTACAGCTGTCCCGAGAGATCCCTGGACATCTCTAACGTCTCCCCAGCCAAACAAGAACTTAAATTATTACTTCTGTCCCGAGAGATGCCTGAATGAACCACTAACCCTACTCTGACTCGGCCCCCTACCACTTAATTTCAAATGCCCTCTTCTCCCATATGCACCCCCCTCCACAAAAGCCACCACCTTCTCTCCTAAAGTCCAACTGCCTCCATAAACACACCCACAAATCTATCTGATTTGTTCCACCTAGCCTCTAACCCATCCATACTATTTTTATTGCTCCCCCCTCCATAATGCTGAGTTGTCCTTGTAACACACAGGAGTTCCTTCTCCGAGCTGTCCAGTGCACCGGCATTAATTATTATTTTAAAGGCTTTATATTATATTGATGAGTGTCATAATACTTTTAAGAGAGATAGCACAATAGTTAAGAAGATTTCTAAGTCTGTCCTGTGACATTCGCCTTTTTATCCTAAGATACAATTCATTGATAAAAGAGAGCGTTTAGCAAATAAAGGATTCTCTGTTCAAGAGAATAAGCTTTAAAAAAATCCAGCCATATTGTTAATATCAAGCCAAGTATACTTTGTGTGTGTGTGTATTTCACGTTAACCACTCACACTGCTAAGAAGAAAATGCAATGATGATCTTAGCTAACTTTAACAATTAATGAAGGACTGCGTTCAAGCTTTGTGAAGTAAATAGAAACACAAGGTGTGAAATCTTGAAAGAGAAAGATAGGACAATAAAGGAAGAGCCTTCTTCAGTAGTACAAGTACAAAATGTGATAGGTGTGTAGTGTAATAAAGGGGCATAATCCATTAAAAAAATGTTAACGTACGGTTACCGGTCTTCTGTTTCACTTAAAATGCATGGATAATGCTAATACTAATAAATGTAAATTATATTTTCCTCTCTTTTCAAGTGGCACCAATGGTATGCATTTATGTTAGCACAAGGCAGATGCAACCTACAAAACACCAGCCTGCCACTTGACTAGACGAGGGTTTATTGGGGTATAGCTTCAATTAGTGGTTTCTTTTAAAACTGAAAACAAACGCTAAGAAATAATATTGCCACTTTATGCGTTGAATATTAATTTTGTTTCTTTGATTTCTTTCTTTAGTTGGCTTCAAAACTTTAAATTTATCTCTCCACTGATGTGTCAGCGAATTCTACACATAAATTTATTATTGCAAAAGACTATTTTTCTGACCCTTAAGCGTCTAGGAATTTTTAAAATTTTTTTTGTTGGTATCGGTACGTATATAACTTCTGTATGCTTCTTCTGAAGGTATTTCACTTCTTAAAAAGTATGATTTAACATCATTACTTAAACTAACAGATAATAAAATAAAGGTTTACAAATTGAATATATTACCGGTATTAATAAACAGTTTAAAAAACAGACCATCGACATTTGGTTTGCTCCAGACAAAATTTATGTTCCCCAAATCCTAATAAAGATGAGTCAAGCCTCTTTAACTCAGCTGTGCTGACAACTCAAATTACCTCTCTGTAGTAAGGTAATGGCAAATGTAGCATGTGACCAACTCTTATGAGTCCAGTATTACCGTACCGGTAATCGAATAGTACAAAGATTAATTTTTTAAAAATCCATTGGATATTAATAACATAACAGTAATCATGAAAGAAACTGATTCTTGACAAACGTTCTGGTTTTCTAGCTCATCATATATTTTTAACTTAATTTATTTACCATTCATTTTTTTTCACAAAAAATTCTGATTTCTTTTATAGATACTGATAGCAAGGCCAATCAATCAATTATCAATCTCTCTTGGTATCTTAATTTTGTTTCATGTCTCAATTTGTACAAGTTTATGGGTAGGGGAGACTGGTGGAGTAGGTAACCACTTCAACACATAGAATGGCTGCTCCATTTTTGAAAAAGTTTGTCCAAATCTGCAATAAATAATTTGGCCACACAGCTAAAAAAGTGTAGCCATATAATTATAATTTAATATAAAGATATTCACTAACTTATTTTGTAGCATTTTTTTAACTTGATCTTGTCGCTTTCCCACATTGAAGGTTGCAGTTTTACTTTTTAATATCTTTCTTACAGGTTTTTACATGCAATCTTTATGTAACAGGTTTGAATTATTTTAAAAAAAATTAGTCAACTTAACACAAATAATAATTCTGTAGGTACCGTACAGTTTTATGTATGGGTGAAATGTTGTGTTCAGTAAGCATGCAAAAATGAAATTCCCAGAAGTTAACACTAATTGGAATTCTTATAAAGTATGTTACTTGAATGCATTTATTTCTAGTAAATTTACAAAGTGGAAGATGGGAAGTTCATTACATAGCCGCCGCCATTGTTTAGCAGATTATGTCTAGCATAAATATAAAAAAAAAAACATGCTATGGCCATTTATATTATTAGAAGAAGCTGTAGAGGACTCTCTACCTACAAAGAAAATAAAAATGATTGAAAAGCTCTTCAATTCATGTAACATGGTTTGACCCCTCCTTCCTGTGCCATCAAATTATTTTTAAAATTACCTTGTTCATAAAAAAATAATTGTTTTTGTTAGATATGTTTATTAGTACATTTTTTGTGTGTGTAGTTTTGGCAAGTTGTATGTAGGCATCAATTCATGAACAGATTTGTGTTTGAGCTCCTAAATAAAACGGGGCTGGTCTAAGAGCTGTCAGTTAGATTAACACGGTTGAGGTCCTAAGCAAAATGGGGCTGGTCTAAGAGCTGTCAGTTAGATTAAAACGGTTGAGGTCCTAAGCAAAATGGGGCTGGTCTAAGAGCTGTCAGTTAGATTAAAACGGTTGAGGTCCTAAGCAAAATGGGGCTGGTCTAAGAGCTGTCAGTTAGATTAACACTGTTGAGGTCCTAAGCAAAATGGGGCTGGTCTAAGAGCTGTCAGTTAGATTAACACGGTTGAGGTCCTAAGCAAAATGGGGCTGGTCTAAGAGCTGTCAGTTAGATTAAAACGGTTGAGGTCCTAAGCAAAATGGAGATGGTCTAAGAGCTGTCAGTTAGATTAACACAGTTGAGGTCCTAAGCAAAATGGGGCTGGTCTAAGAGCTGTCAATTAGATCAAAACAGTTGAGCTCCTAAGCAACATGGGGCTGATCTATAAGCTGTCGGTTAGATTAAAACTGTTACTATTTTTAAAAGAAAAAAAAAGGTACTGATGTAGTGTGTCCAGCAATTTCAAGCAAATATGGAAGAAAAGTTATTTCAGAACAGAAGTGAATGAAAAACATTGGGCCTTGTTGGATGAAATGTGGCAGAATTTTTGGTTGCAGATGTTTCAAGCAAAAAATCTGGGATTTAAACAATCCTCACGTTCACTGATTAAAGATTTGAATGTTTGAGACTACTTTATGATGCACTTTGTGTGATAGACTAAAACCACAGTTTGAACAATTGGTAAAACAGAAAGATTGCAAAGTTTCTTATTTGTAAAAACGTAACCCCCTTTTATTCTCACTTTAAATAACAGTGGTAGTATTACAATAGCTACAACTACAATAAATATGCTCACTAAAATTTTTAGTCAATTGTGGAGATTTGAATTACAGTATTTAAAAAATATCACCACTGTAGTGGTTTGATGGTCACAATGGGTCTAAACCAATCATCAGAAAACAGAAAAATAAAAATGTTGAACAACGTCCTTATTTTTGATTTAAAAAAAAAGCTAAATCTGGAACATTTATTCTATGGTTTATTATTTACAAATATAAATTCAATTACAAATAAACCAAATATGCTGCAATAACAATGACCTGGTAGAACTAGAACCTGGCATTTACAGCTAATAAGAAATTGAAATTATTTATCCAGTTGAGAATGAGCATTTAACAAAACACTTTTTCTTCCATTTATGGTGGGGAAAAAATATGGAGATAGTAGCTTTATCAACCTAAAATAATCCAACAATTTCCACCAGTTTGCAGATATTCTCAACTGTTAATTTATGATTTCCCAATGAAAAAGAGGCTGTTACTATACTCTTTTTCCATTCAATCAATTTTTTAAATAAATGTGGTGACAGAAGCATTGATTTAACCACAGCATAAATGACAAGTAAACTAAATGATAATTTCAACATTCCCAATTTCCTCATCTGTAGGCAGTTTAATTGATTCAGCACATGCGTAGTCAGGGTCCACAAGTGGCAGCCCTTCCCTTTCTCTTCGTTCAAGTTCTAAAAATGCCTCTCTTTTACACCAATCATGGAATCTATATTGGAAATAAATAAAATGAAAAAGTTTCTGTTACTAATAATTTTCACTCCTAAAAAAAACACCATATCTTATTCACCTCTATTGTCATAGAAAAGAAAATCAATATACTGTACTAAATAAATTAATGATAATGAAGAAAATATGTATATGTTATAAGTTATATGTAGTTATATGTAGGGTATCAAACTAGAGTAAATTAGAGACCGACCGAAAGTGATTTTCTGATTTCGGCCGAAACCAGGCCGAAAATTAAAATACGACTTTTGGCCGAAACCGAAAGTAAAACAAAACTTAACTTTTCAGTTTCTGCCAAAACCCAAATTAAACCGAAGCTGAAAAATTTTAATTTTTCAAAACTCGTTTTCGCACATGTTCTGCTCACCGCGAAAAATGATGGAACAACTTTTGTTGCAATTTTTATTCGTCTTAAACGACTCTCATACAATTTATCCAATGAACTGAACCTTCTCTCCTTTTTTGGCTTTTACCATTTGCATTAAGAAATAATTTAAAGCTGATAAACAATAAAATTTAAATTAGTTTTGTATTTTAAAAATTTGACTGGGGGAAGGGCAAAATTCTTGCAAAATGGACCCTTCTTTTAAAATATAATTACAACGCTTTCTAAACATATATAAAGGGTATCGATCGAGAGCTTAGGCTATCTATTGTTTAATGGTATCGCCCATTAAAATGTCCACACACAAGACTTGAAAAAAACTATTTTTCTTCCGAGAACCCATACACTTTTTGCTGAAACTCGTGTTCTTTTTGTTCGACTTGAAATTGTTTGTTGATCGGCAATTATCATTTGTCGCTAATTTTAGATTTCACCTAGATTGAACAAAAGTTTAGAGAATGTTAGTTTAGTTTAATATTACAGCCCCATTACATAATTATTTACGAAACAGCGATACACACATACGTTTGTTGATACAAACATACGTGTGTAGGCTGTATGTGTGTAGGCTTATGATTTAAATTAAAGGCAACTTTTGCCTAATAATACAAAATTGAAAACGTAATGATGTTTTACTATTGTGTAAAATATTAATAAAGGTTCATTCTTTTCTTTCTTTTCATTTATTTCCATACACTTGACACTTCACTAATTTGGTGTGATATATTAAACTTTTATTTCATTTTAAGTAAAAAATTTTTAAGCACGATAACGATGAAAGTCAATGAATTAATTAATTGAGAAAGCCTAGGGATCCGAAATTAAAAAGAATAAAAGAATAATGTTACAAATAATAAAGGAAATGTTACCATTCCCTAAGATTTTTTTTTTTCACATTGCTAGTTCCCTTGGACTATTACTACATTTTTGAGCAAGATAATGATAAATCAAAGTGCATTTCACAAATAAATGACTTGAATGAGCCTAGTGTTCCCAATTTTAAAAAAAAAAAAATAAAATAATAATATAAATATTACCATTCCCCATAGTTTTTTTTCCACCAAACTATTAACCTTTCCTTTTGTCTTATTGAAATTTCATTTCTTAAAATATTGGACAGCTGTGAACAGTGTTTGCAAATTATTTGTTATGTATTACCGATGACAGCAGTACGCCGCGCAATAATTAATATAGGATTGCCAGCCGTCTGAGTGACAATCTGACATCTGGTAGAAGACCAAAGCCATTTTTCACTTCGGACCAGACTTCCCAAAGTCTCAATCACTTTCGACCAAAAACCGAGAGTAAATCGAAACTTAACTTTTCAGTTTTGGTCATAACCAAAATTAAACCAAAAGTTAACTTTTCAGTTTCGGCCGAAACAAATAAAAGATGATTTAAGTAATATTTTAATAGATTCATCTAGTTATAGCATAGCGATAATTTAAAGTTATCTAAACATCAAAGCTTTACATTTTATAGTAAATAAACTTTCAGACGGATACAGCAAAGAATAAGAACTACTTACTTGTAGTCTGGCATGTAGGCTAAAATGAAGCCCCCCAAACAGACGCAAATAGTAATAGAACAAAACATAACTAAATGGTGGAGGAAGTAGTCTGTGTCCCGGTCACCAGGCTCATAGCCATATGAGATATAATTCTGTGGAGTTAAAAGTTCTTTCATTAAATTCACAAACACTTTTTAACAATAGTAATAATTATTATTTTAACACCCCAATTTGATGTGTCATTAAAAAAACTATAATTTATTAATGCAGTGTCATGAACTAGGTATCCCAAAAGATAACCTTGACTTCAAAGTTAAATGGGCAACAGATACAAAGTTAATGCAAGAAATTATAACAGATAGATTGCACTGGAAACATATTTATAGGAGATGACAATGATTTACGTTTAGGTTAACTTACTGATTTGAAATGAAATTATTGTTTTCTTGTGTAAAAACAACTCAACTGCAGCAACATTACAAGCATTTTTATGGGTATCTTGCTAGACCTTCTGATACACTACACTATAGTTGTCTTTCCCACCCCTCAAAAAAAAAAAGCTACAGAATATAAACAAATATATATATATATATATAAATATAAACACAGGCCATAGCTAATAAATAATATATACTAAAGAATTAGCTAACTTATGCTATCCGGATTATATTTTGTATAATCAGCAATTAAAAAGAAGAAAAAAAAAGAAACTTTCGGTATTTTTCATTGTCTGTCCGATTCGCTTATTAACTTCTCTATAGATTAATGAATAAAGAAATATATATAGCATTGAAATGTGACGTTGACATGGCGTCTTTGGTATTTCAGAAAAGTTCATTTCCTCTTTTTTATGAAGACAATGTGACGTCCTTGGTAATTGAAAGTAGGTGATTGTGGCGTCGCGTCGACATCGGTAACGAAAGGGTTAAAACACTTTTAGTAATAAGTGAGAAGATGACACTATAAAAATATGTTTACAGTCAATAAATGACTCTCATGTAATTGAATATAAAACGAAAACAAATTATAAATAGTTTAAGTTTAAGAGCTTTGTAATATACTGTAACATATAATATATATAATATTATATATTTTGAAAGAACATTTTTTCAAACAATAGTACTTTAAGTAATTATGGTAAATTCAGAGAAAGCGGCCCGAGTCTATTTCCATGGCCGCCATCTTGGTTGCCTCGACCCGCGCACTTTTACGTGTTCACGGGTCGAGGCAACCAAGATGGCGGCCATGGAAAAATAAAATAATTCACGTTTGCTAAAATTTGGAAGAAAAATTTTAAAATGTATGAAAAAATTGTCTGAAATCGATACCTATGCCTAACCTGAACCCTAAATCTATCCCTATGCCTAACCCTAACATTAAATCTATCCCTATGCCTAACCCTAAATCTATCCCTATGCCTAGCCCTAACACTAAATCGATCCCTAAGCATAACCTGAACCCTAAAAACTAGCCGTAAATCCACAAGCGAAAACACGTGGAATTTCACACTTTGGGAAGAAAACTATAAAAATTAACAAAAACACTTTTTACTTTATTTCAGGTTCCAAGGAAAATATAGCCACAAAATGAATAAATCTCCATACCCCACAGGCACCCCAAAGAAATCAAACATGGCGGAACAAAAGAAATATGATAATGAGCCAACCAATGAAAATTTTACAATTATAATTAATCAACCAATAAAATTTTAATTCCGAAAATGTAACTCTTTTTTTCAAAAAAAATAAAGGGAGTGAATCCAAAACAAAGTCGTCGTGGGCCGCTAAATCTGAAACAGCCGTAATTATAAATTATAAAACACAATGAATTTGCAGTGTAAATATCCACTGTTTGCAGTATTTTTTTCCTCATCTTTCTACAGCCTACCCTACACACTGACACTACAGATTTTCCCTAGACTGTAACTGTAGGAGTAGGAGGGTACAGGGTACTGACTGTACTGTACTTACTGAGAATAGTAGTTTAGTCACATAGTATATTATTTTATATTTCTATTGAATTTAAGAAACTCTAGACGTAAGAGTGATGATAGTCATGTTCTAGTGTATTAAGGCAAATAAAATGTGTATGTATGTAAACGTAATTGTGCTGAACATTAAGATAAGACTTACCTCCTCTTTGTTTGTGTCGGTGTCTTTGAAATGTTCAGTTAATCTCTTTAACTCGGCCGACTTCTCCATAGTTTGGACTACTGCACCAACATCCTTTTTCTTTTCAGAAGTTGAAATATAAGCATTATGCTTTAGTAAGGGGACCACAATAATTCGGGCTGGCTTATTTTTTGAAATTACTTGAAAGACCCGACCTTGTCGGGCGACCGACCTCAACAAAGTCGCCATTTTGAGCCAATGGAACTCTTTAGCGTTTGTATAAGATTCTACAGAGTTATGGGACGTATCGATAAATAAAAATAATGGATTAAAAAATATATGTATTAAATAACAATCATATATATATATCATATCAATCATATATATATATACAAGTGAAAATTTGTTTGTTTGCTTGTTTTATGAAGGCTTTTATATGGATTGATGGAACTTGACCAAACTTGTCACTTATATCCATCATTATCCAGAAGGAACTCTTAAATTTTCTTAAGGCAGGGGTTATGAACTTTTTATAACTTTCAGTTTGGGGCCGGGGGCCCAAAATATCATTTTTTCCCTATATAAACTATATAAATAAAATTAAAAACAAATAAGATAAGATAAGATTCTTTATTGATCCAAATAAATGGAATTTTTTGTTTTGTTTTGATTGCATTGTACATTTTCAGCACAAAAATAAAACAATTTGAACACAAGACATTTATAATAAATTATTTCAAACAGCCATTCAGTGAGTTCTTTTAGCAAAATTGGGGTCATATTAGTTCCCATTCAGATGTGTGACTTCAGAGGAAACACGCCAGTAAATTCGTACAAATTGGGGAACAACAGAATTTTTATATCGGTCTGTCCTCGCCCTGATGGAAAGAATTCGCCCCGAACGGCCCGATCCTAAGTATCTGTGATGAAGAGGGTGGGATGTATCATCCAAAATGTGTTTGGTTTTGCAAAAACATCTTTCTTCAAATAGTTCTTCAAGTGAAGGATGTTTAGTTTGTGTTAAGTTTCTAGCTTTCTTGATTAGTCGGTTTATGCGGTGTTTAATATCAGACGTTGAATTCCCACACCAGCAGGTAATACTGAAATTAAGCATGCTTCCAATGGCTGCACTGTAGAATAAGTTAACGACTTTGCTTGTTTACCCCAAAGGTGTACAGTTTTTTGAGGTAGAACAATCTTTGGTTGAATTTCTTATACAGGATTTGGCCGTGCTCATGCCATGTTAGCTTATTATTAATGGTGACACCTAAGTACTTGTATGCCTCCACTTTCTCCACATTTTGATTTTTTATGTTGAGATCTGTAACCAGGTGTTTCCCCCTCCTGAAATCAACAACCATTTCCTTTGTTTTTGAGACATTCAACTGGAGAAAATTTTCATCGCACCAATTGATAAAGCTTGTTACTAAGTTACGGTATAGGCATTCTCCTTCAGATATTAAGCCAAAAATGGTGGCATCATCAGCAAATTTTAAGATTGGAACGGTGTCGCTTGAGCTTTGAATATCATTTGTATATATTGTATATAGTACAGGAGAGAGAAAGCATCCTTGTGGTGCCCTGGTGCTTATTTCTCTGGTTATAGATACTTGGTTATTTACTTTGACATATAATATTGTGGTCGATTCGTTAAAAAGTTCAGTATCCAAGCCTGTATATTTAAATTGACACCTAACGAGGAAAGTTTCTTTGTCATAAGGTGTGGTTGGATAGTGTTAAATGCTGATGAGAAGTCTAAGAAAAGCACTCTGGCATATGTTTTAGGCCTGTCCAGGTGATGGTAAAGTCTCTCCAACAATAGTAAGATAGCATCCTCCGTACTTCTGGCAGGTTTGTAAGCCAGGCAGGTTTGGTGGGGATAAAAAATTTTCTGTACTTCATTCAAAATTTCTTTCAGAATTATTTTCTCAAAACATTTCATGACAATAGAGGTAAGTGCAACAGGTCGTAAGTCGTTGTTGGACGTTACCTTAATTTTCTTTGGAATTGGTATGATTTCTGAAGTTTTCCAAATTGCTAGTATTGTGTAAGTTATATAAGATTTATTAAATATGTAAAAAAAATGTAGGAGAGCTGCTCTGAACATAGTTTAATGAGCCGACCACTTAATTTGTCTGGACCCGAGGCTTTAGCTGCGTCCACTTGGTTAAATAATGACATCACTCTCTGTTCGGTAAACAATAAACTACCATCCTGTGTACTACTGCCATCTTGAAATGAATTCGTCATCTCATTGTGCACTCTTCCAAAGTCCAGGCTGTCAAAACGACAATAAAAGTCATTTAAGTCGTTAACAAAATTCCTTACGTCCTCAACACATAAGCATTCTCGCTTAGGAGTATATCCTGTTATTTGCTTGAGTCCTGCCCAACAAGCCTTTGAAATATTCCTACACGAATAAATGGATCTTAACCAAACTTAGTACGCATACACTTGATTATACATATTCAAGTACCGAAGGGTACTGAACTCATTATATCCATCTCTCTGGGGTCGGGGGCCCCATTTCATTTTTCATTATTTTAGTAATTATAAGCTATATAAATATCAATAGGCTTAGACAACACTATAGGTTCTGTGTGAATTGGTGGCTATAGGCCCAGGGTAACAATACACTTCATTATCCGTATTGAAATATCGGTGGATTAAAAACTAATAATATCCTGTCCATTAAGGGCCGATCTATAATTTTCTAAAAAGTTCGATTCTTTAAAGAAGCCATAACTATGGCATTTTTAAACCAATTTTAATGGGACACATTTTAAATTTTAACTTTATAATTTATCTGAATGATTTTTATAGGGTCCCACATCTCAGACATAACTAAAACGGTACTTTATTAAATTGGCCCCCACCGGGGCCCCTATTTCAATTTAAATGTACTATAGTTATAGTAGTACAATTTAGTGGTAAAATATTTCGCATTCGAGAAATAATTACGTTTCATGGAGGATATTAAATTTAATATGGAATGTTCCAGAAGTTTCTATATTAATCTACGGGAATATATAATGGGATCTAAAAGCTTATTCGAACAAAATCGCATTAAATATGATCACATAAAGTTAGAGGACCAGGATCATAACGGGGAACGAGATCCAACAGTAAACTTGAGCCCATCGGTTACGCGATCCCATTGGGGAACAAGATCTCATCGGGATCACACCGGGAAACGGGACTGCACCGGGATTGGTGTCCTAATGAAATCCGGGGCCACGCCGGGTATATTGGCTAGTTATTCTATATAAAAAAAACAAAACATACTCATTTTTAAAAAGATTTTCTTTCAAAGACGAATGGAAGCGCATTGAAAAGAAGAAAATAATTTGAAATGTCATAAAAGGCAGTATGCAAAGAAAGTCTGTGCAGAAGGGTAAAAAGTAGGGATGTGCATCAAGCATCTTTTGGACCAACGCCGCTCTAGCTCCTCTCTGGAGTACTCTGACACATTTTGTCAGTTCTGAGCTTCAAGCTCCGGCAATTATTTGGTTTAAGTGGCGAGGGGTGGGGTGGGTGGGATGGTTGAGGGGGAGGGTGCTTAGACAACATAGCTGGTAGAAGAGTGGGGCAACAGCTGGTGATGTGAAAAAAAAAGAGTAAATTATTAACTTTTAATTCAGGAAAAGAACATTAAAATGTATCCAAAAGCCACGCTCGTCTCTTTGTGTCTTCTAATGAAAAGTGGATCATCCTCATTGATTGCTATTTCATCTTTGTATTTATACAATTATGTAGTATGAAAATTCTCTTCAATTCACTTCCTTTGAAAAGTTACACAACGTGGCAGTGCAAAGAGAGTTTCTTTAATTTGGAAGCACTTTTTTTTTTTTTGCATAACGAAAAAAAAAAACATAAAAAAAAAAACGGACGAGAGTTGAGTGGATTTGATTTAATAACGGTTACTGCAGCAATAAGATGTTTCAACTCATAGTCATGTTTTTCAAATTTAAGGCTTAAGTGTATACCAATAATATTTCGGGATTTTTACGGAAACAAAGTTTAAAACTCAGAAAGGCAATGGAGCACCGGCAGTACGTTGGCCAGTGACATGTTACCATTTGATACCATGCGTCTCAAAGAATCTGGCCACTTGTCAAACATTTATTTTGCAGTTGTTCTGGTTGTGCAGTTGTGCTGAGAGTTTCACCAAAAAAAAAAAAAAAACATAATAAAAGAAAAAATCATCATCGTCCAGGTGCTTGTCATCTAGGCCAATATCGTACATTTGGGTTAAAATGGTGACATCCGTCGTTCCAACCAGCTGAATCGCAAGGAAGTTGAAAATCAAATTCTGAATCTTCAAGGATAACTGAAACAGTATTTTATCAGACTTCTCCGCTAATCCCCTCCAAACAGTATCATTTGACAGGGAATCATGTTTTAACTTCTCAAGTTCAGAACTTCCCAGCACATTCGATATGATATCTTGCAGCAAGGTATTTAATATCAACAGTTGTCCGATGCTGTGAGACTGTGAGGTTTCTTGGAGGCAGCTAATTTCTTTGAAACCCCATAGGCGGCGTTTAGATCATCTTTAATATTCTGTGAACATATCCCCGTGTCATCAAGCCCGGATCTGTGCTAGCGTTCTACTTGACGTTTGAAGAAGTCGACATCTTTCTTAACTGAGTTGGGTTGCTTCATTTCCTAGTGTCTCTTTAACTTGCTTTAAGGCTTTAGAGAGGTGGAGGCCAACACCCCAGAACAATAAACACACTGTGGATTTTCTCCCCCACTAGACCTTATTACAGTAATCCCAAATTTCAAGGATGAACCATCATGTCTCATCACGTCATAATCTCATCACGCCATATCTCATCACGTCATATCTCATCACGTCATATCTCATCACGTCATAATCTCATCACGTCAAATCTCATCACGTCATATCTCATTAACTTTTTGGAGGCGATATAATCTGAAATAAACAACTACTTGTTGACATTTTATTTATATAATTAGTACGTAATACTTTTTAAGTTAACAATGAAAAGCAAGGTTAAATAGGAAAATCAATTAAGATAATAAATCAGCCAAAGAATAACCAGCATCATTTATAAAAGAAAATCTAAACAAGGTAAAAAATGAGATTGAGACGATAGTCTGCTAGGCTTAAGAAAGATGGAGAATAGTTTTTTGTATAACACAATCTTTCTCCTTCAGTGGACTGTACAACATTAATTTACCAAGAAGAGATTTTGTAGACATATGCTCCGCCGACCCACGGTTCCGTTCTCTTGTTAGATC